CTTCGATTTGCCTTCTAGAGCAAGGAAGAGCAAAGTATTCTGCTTTCTGTGTCAATCCTTTTAAATACTTTGAAAGCAATTGATCTAGCTTCTTTGAGTCCTCCATTTCCCCAGTAAAACCAACCCGGTGCCATCAATACGAGATAGTTTCTGGGTCCTTCCTGGTGGTTCCCTCTCTAAATTGTCTCTCCTCTGTCAATGTCCCTATTTTATTGTGGCCCTCAGTGAAGTGTACATAACACTTGTATATTTCACAACATAACAAATGTGGCTTAACAGAACAAGTCAGCAGACCTTATACAGGCTTGGTTTTTTTTGTTTTTTTGTTTTTAAATTAGGTTAAGTTACAGATAATTGTGTCATTATAAACATTTTGCAATGTGCTGACATCTTAGTAAGTTTTCAGTGATGTTAAGTGAAGATTTATACCATATCTGCAAATTAAATCTATTCTACATTATTCACTTTATGCAAAGAGTTGGAAAAACACTGAAAATTGTTTTACTTATTGAATATTGTTTCAGAACATGTAAAAATTTAGACCACATTTTGTTTAGCGTTTTTGATTATTCAGATATAATTTCTAATGTCTTATGTAACAAAAAACTAACAATTATTAATCTATATGTCTTCCCTAATTCAATATCTGCTTTCTTGTCCTGTTTTATTTTTACTGGAATCATAAATTAGGCAATTTTTCTGAGGATGGAACACTATTGTAAACACTATCAAAGTGAAATTCTGTAGATGCAAATTTAAAGTAATACCATATATATATAAGGTTTTATTCCTGTGGAATTTATTACTGGATATTGCTATTACGATGATCAATAAATACACAAATGATGCTTCTGAATGGGTTTATTGTTTTTCCCAGCAAATTAAATAAATACTACTGACTTTTCTTAAAAACAAGAGCAAATAATTTTATTAATGTTTCTCAGAGTCAGAGGTGAAATTATTTAATGGCTTAATGTTTTAATATTTTTTAGGATATTAAACTATGGTAGTGCTTAAAATCATTCTTTTTACCACTGACCCCAAATAAATCTTAGTGATTGTCATATTGCTACTAATCTTATGCTTTCAGATGAATGCACTTAATATTCTTACTGGCAAGGGGAAATCTTACATGAAATATAGGTGGCTCGGTATGTACTGGAGTGGTTTATGTTGAAGTACCACTTGGTTCTGTACTATTGGGTCCTCTAATTCAGTTGCACTAAGACCATCCAAGCAAAGGAGCATTCAGATATAAGTATCCATATTTGTTTGTAATGCCTTTTTTTAAAATATGTAGAGATGTGTTCATAGAGTTACTGAAGCATATAGAGTTAGGAATAAAGATGAATAATATGCTTTTATTATATCGGATTGAGATTCTATCTGTGGACATTTTTGAAAACTTCATGCATTGTATTTCTGGACCATTATATTCTTATCAGGATTAGAAAATTCAATTTTTGCAAGATAAATCTTGTTATAGATTAACCTATCAAGACAGCATATAGAGCCGAAGCCATGATTTCACAAAATAATTTACATTTTAAAGTAACTAATTCTACCATAGAACTTAAAGAAAGACATACCCTTAGGACAGGATATAATGAAGAATACATGATAGGTGGTAAGAATACAAGATTATATTATAAAATATGTAAATAAATGTTCTATGATGGCTTCAAAGCCTAAGGCAGGTGGAAGAACTAGATAGTAGGGCACAGAGGAAATCTACAAGATTTTCTTTTTGATTTCAGTTCTTCCACTGTTAGCAGGGTGGAGTTAGATAAGGTTCAGCCTATTTTGGCTGGAGTTCCCTCATCTCTGAGAAGCAGGAATTGAGCTTCAGTTATCTCTCATAGGCTTTCCAGTTCTAAAATTCTGTCATTTAAGGAAGGAGCCATAATGAGCTTACAAACGATTTGCATCTGTTAGTATACTGGTTTGGCTCTTTATTTCAAATTATTTTTTCTAAAGCTATTTTGAAACTTTATTAAGAGAACCTTCCTCTCCATCTTGAAATAAAGTCAGTCTTTTTTCTGAAAAGCAAATCACCTTTTAAGTGCAAAAACCATCTCTTAAAGGAATGGTGAAATTCTAACAAGCTGGAATCTCCTGAAACGATCTAGCCCAATGAATTTCCTGGTTTTGATTTTAGGATGATTTAACCTTCCTGTAAACAAAATCAGCAAGAGCCGTCCTTCATGACCTGATTAAAATAGGAGTGTTTTTTAAAAAGTAATTTTGCCAGGATTGTTTTTTAAAGGATCAGTTCTAAAAATGTTTGATTGCATGATTGTGCAAGAATCCAGAAGAAAACCGGACACTGATGGTGGTATTTTTCTTCCCCTCCTGTTGTCTTGATACAGAATAACAGTTGGATTTAACCATTTTCTTTTTTCAAAGTTACACGACTTTTGAATATGAGCTCCAGAAATGACAGTTCTGATCAGTATTATTCACAAATGATAAGAAGCATTTGGATAGTTATAATGGGGGAAATATAACCTTTTTACGTGGAAAAAAAAGATTCATAAAGGAAAAAAGACACGAATATGGAAACCTACAACTGTGTTTTTTTTCTCTGTGTACATGCTAAAGATTTTATTTATAATTTTACTGAAAAATTTTAAAATTAAATAACATTTCTTAGAAGCAGGTATGTTCAAACATACATACACATAAATATATGCAATATTGAAATGCAGTTGTGGGAATCGTCATGGCTTGCCTTCAAATCTTTACTCTCCTTGGTTGGTGTGATAATCTTAACTTTAAAGTAGATGTGTTTTTGTTTAAAATTTGTTATAAACTGTAGAAACGCTTATTAAAGACTCATTTTATTAGCATGTGTTAAGGGGGGGGTTCTTATTTTCTGACTAACATTTCAGTATTTTTAATTATGATAAACCATGTAACACAGACTCATGAATTTGGGGGCAGTGGAAATTATTTCCTTTGACTCTTTTTTCTGCATATCATCAATTTGCTTTTTACTCATGTTTCTTCTACTGTCGCTGTAAGCTTACTTGTTGTTTTTTCTTTCCTTTTCTTCATGCTGTCGTTTAGAGCCCTACAGAGAGACAAGTATGGGAGTAAAGCTAAACATTGCATATCAAATGTAATTTTTTTTAGTTCACTTTTATTGCATCACATATAGATGATGTAGTTATTAAAAACAGTTCATCTCACAATTTAAAAACTAAAGAGCCTATGAATCGACTTATATAAATTTACGTTAATAGAGATTAGACGCTTTTGTTGTCTGATTCTTTTACTGTGTCACATAATCAACATAGTTGTTAAGTCTCATGTAATGTTTGTGTGAGTTAAATTGTTTTTAAATTAAGCATTTATTTTTGCTAAGTAATTCATAAGCTTTTATTTTTTTATTACTACATTCCATCATACACATATATGTCACATGCAGCATATCCACTTTATTTTACTATGGTTGTTTCCGACCTGTACCTAATGCATTGACAACAGAAGTAATACACACGTTTCAATGCATCAGTCACTCAGCCATAACCATCATGCATACCATGGCAGCCTCCACAGCAGCAATCACCCATCGCATATGGCCCTTTAAAGAACATTTACTTTTATTTTTCTTAACATTGTGGATTTGTCTACAAGATATCTTATAACATGAAAATAAATCGCTTCACCCTATGTCTGTGATGGCTGCTTTTTAATGAATTTTATGCATTGCTGTCTTTAGAAACTGTTACTTGAATACAGAGTATGCAGCAAAAGTCCATATATAAATTGATACATTTGGGACACTTTATTTAAACCAGCAAAGAAGGAGTTCAGTTTTGATAAACATAAGTGCATCACAGATATAGAATGAATGTTATATTTTCACAAGTTAGCAGTGTATTGAGAAGTTTAATAGAATTCTTCAATTAATTGTTCTGTAAAGAAATATCCTTTCTTACTTATGAGTATTGGTTAAATGTTTGTGTTTTATTTTCTTTCGTGGTTGCATTTGAACTGATTTTGGAACTATTATAGATTCTTGGATTTCTGTTCATTCAAGAGAATGCAAAAACCTTGAAGAAGCATGTGGTTAAATTTTATTTCACTGCAACTATTTCTTCCCAGAATAAAATGTTCAATCTCTTTTAAATTCAAAGTTTAATATGCACACAAAGTCATCACTCATTATGACATGGAATCTTTAATACTGACACTATGTTTTTAGGAATCAGATACCTGTGTCTTTACACATTCTTTTGTAGTATTACCTAATGACCCTAAACAATCGCTAATGGGTTAATATGTAGAAAATGATATTAGAAAGTAAATCTAAATATTTTTGTTTTGAAAGTTCCTAGATGCATATTATTTTGATGTGCCATTTATTTGACTAAGCATTATTCCATGACTACATCATTTTGACAAATTTAACATAATCCTTTTGTGGTTTTGTGTGTAGGAATTATGTTTAATCTTGCAAAATTATATATCAAATTATTAGAAGCTGCTTGATTCTTTCACTTTTGACCAGAATATTCAAAGTACCACACATGAATTATGTTAATATTATGCCTATTTTAATGTTAAAACAACATGTAAAATTAAAGGTAATGAATTATTAAATTGACTTTGATGTGTATAAATTGAAAGCTATGAATGATTACACCAAAATTTTCGTTATTTTTTTTCTAAGTTATAACCAAATATGTTTCAAATAGTGTCAGGCAATGTTTGTGTGGAAACTACAAATTTATAGGTTTTTTAAATTGTTATTTTAAAGAATTATTTTAGATACTTTTCCATTTATAAGGTTCCTATCAATTGTCCCCAAATGTATATAAAAATGTGTACATATAGACTTAATAGTATGTTTTGTTTCCAAACATTTTATAATTAATTAAACGTGCTAGCAATTTATACATACTTCATAGTCGGATGTTTCTGCCTTTGTGTTTGTGTGTGTGTTCTGTGGCCAAATGGATGTAAATGTCATAGTGTTTTGTAATCTTTTTCAGAGGGGCTTCTGAACAATGCCAGGGATACAAGTGTCATGGATACTCTACCACTGAATGGTAACCATGGCAATAGTTACAGCATTGCCAGTGGCGAATACCTGAGCAACTGTGTGCAAATCATAGACCGTGGCTATAACCACAATGAGACCGCCCTAGAGAAAAAGATTCTGAAGGAACTCACTTCCAACTATATCCCGTCTTACCTGAACAACCACGAGCGCTCCAGTGAACAGAACAGGAATCTGATGAACAAGCTGGTGAATAACCTTGGCAGTGGGAGTGAAGATGATGCCATTGTCCTGGATGACGCCACCTCCTTCAACCACGAGGAGAGTTTGGGCCTGGAACTCATTCATGAGGAATCTGATGCTCCTTTGCTTCCCCCAAGAGTCTACTCCACAGAGAACCACCAGCCACACCATTACACCAGAAGGCGGCTCCCCCAAGACCACAGTGAGAGTTTTTTCCCTTTGCTAACCAACGAGCACACAGAAGATCTCCAGTCACCCCATAGGGACTCTCTGTACACCAGCATGCCAGCACTGGCTGGTGTGCCTGCCACAGAGAGCGTTACCACCAGCACCCAGACCGAACCCCCACCGGCCAAATGTGGTGATGCCGAAGATGTTTACTACAAAAGCATGCCAAACCTAGGCTCCAGAAACCACGTCCATCAGCTGCACACCTACTATCAGCTAGGTCGCGGTAGCAGTGATGGATTTATAGTTCCTCCAAACAAAGATGGGACCCCTCCAGAGGGAAGTTCAAAAGGACCAGCTCATTTGGTCACTAGTCTATAGAAGATGACACAGAAATTGAAACCAACAAAACTGCTAACACCTGGTTGACTGTTCTGAATTGATATAAGCAGTGGTAATAATGTGTGTACTCCTAAATCTTTATGCTGTTCTTGAAAGACAAACACAAACTTTCAGACTTTTTTTTTTTTTTTTTAACTGGGATTTTTAGGTCAGCCCAGGGGAGAAAGATAACTGCTGAAATTCCCCTGTGCCCTCTCCTTTCTTGTCATTTCCCCCTCAGATGGAGACTTCATTATGTTAATGAACGAGATATGAAGAAAATGGCGCTCATTGTGGCCTTGTTGAATTATGTTGTGTTTGTTCTAACATCTCTGATGCTCTGTTACTATAATTACAAGGACCTGATTTTTAAAAGGCCAGAACAGTTGTTTGACATTAGTAACAATGCTGCATCTAGATTGGAGTGCTGCACAAACAAACATAAAAACAAAGCAAAACTGTATCACATAGTGGTTTTTAGTCACTCACAACCTGAATTCACCACAGTGGGAATAGCTGTGGAATACAAAATAAAACAACAAATTAATAATGAAATGGAGGGGAATTCTAGAATTATATGCTAAATGCATATTTTATGATTTGCTGTATTAACTGATGATAAAACTAATGGCAGAAAAAAAATTGAACAATTTCTATGTAATGTACAGATACTAGCATTGCACATATAGTCAGCTTTCTGTTCCTCCAGAATTTGAGTCCTGTTAATGTAGTGGAAAAAAAGAGATATTTTTTCTTTTTCTTTCGTGCTGGTCTTGCAAGTTTGTCTGCCAGTAAGAGAGCAAAGTTTCCTTCCTTCCTTCCTTTTCTTTCTTCCTTCATTTTCTTTGCTTTTTCTTCTCTTTTTCCTTTCTTCTTTTTTTTCTTTCCTTTTATTTTTCCTTTATTTTTTCTTTAAAATTTCACCTGGCAAAATAAATAAATAAATAAATAAATGAAACTATCACTTTATAAGAATCATTTTCTAGTAATGCAAACAAATTATTTTTTACAAAAAAATAAAATAAATAAAATTAGACTTCCTTCCCTCACTATATATCTTTATTCAGTCAGAATATTTCCAAGAGCATTTTTGCAGATTAGAGCAGGACGAACTTTTATGTTTACAGTATACATCTGTTGTAATGCAAAGTATATTTGGCAAGCAGTTCATCACCAAGACAGTAGCTATGATTCTAGAAGTCAAGAGGCGTCAATAGAACTAGTGGGGCTTCTGCATGTGAAAAAAAAAAAGGTATCCCATAGGCATTAAAGTGCTGAATGCTCAGTCTGAGCCCCAAGTGGGCACGCGCACTACCAATTTTTAAAGGAAATTCACTCCCTTGTAGTAAGAAATGAAAGGTCAAGTTATTTTGAAGTGATTTTTTTTAAACTCTTCTGTTTATTAACAGGAAAATTTATTTATTTGACAGGATTTTAAGTAATGTAGGAATACAAGAGGTAAATTAGCAGCACATATAATTTTTTTTTAAATTTATGATCCATTTTGTATGGTCTCAAAGTTGGATGACCTCATTACTAATATTTGTTGTAAAAGTGAAACTTGTTTGCCAACCAATAAACAACTGATTGAGATTTAGAAGATATTGTTTTGATGTATGTACTATATGATGAATTATTCTTTTCATTTTTCTCGTCTTTCCTTCTGTTTTCATTATATATACTTTGCTAATCGATTACTCTATGGCCCAAATGAGCCATGCAATAGAAATCAGATCTGCCTAGAAGAATAACCTAAGCACAAAATTTTACCATTTTTGCAGACAAAGTAAACCAGAAAAATGGGATGGGCATGTTTATGTTGAATGAAATAAGATGCATAACTTACTTTTAAGCAGGTTAATATCAGCTACTATGTGCTTATTTTATAAGCAGCAGCCATCATGCTTACTATAAAAACCAGCTTCAATCAGAGATTTATGTATTGAATTGAAGAGGGGGTGAGTCACTTATTTTCCTTTCCTGTAAGTTCTATTTTGATGTCAGAAATTTAAAGTCATTCAGTTGGCTCAAAGCTGCCAGTTTAATGGCAAAGAGAATATCCATTTTATAAAGATAGTAGAAGACATTTTTATGCTAATTTTTCTTGCCCCATATATGAAACAAAGTCCTTTCAAAGAAACTTTCTAGATCTCCAATTACTGAAGAACCTTTACCGGCAGTGTCTAAACATAGAGTCCCTTCTAGAGCAAAGCTAGAATGAATTTGCCAAATTGTAATTTATCTTGTAGTGTATGATATTTTGGTGACTTCTTCCCCCCCCCCCAAATCTGAACACCACCCACCTATTAATTAATTTCTTAAATTAAGATGAGATGGAATAGTTTATGGAATAACCAGTAATCTCTATATAGTTTAAGAATATATGACAAAAGAAAGAATTCTGTGCTGGACCAGAGTACATCATAATCTTAATATTCACCTCAGAATATTTTATGCTCATTCCTTTTTAAGTCTCTAGAATTGTTCTTGAGTTGCAGGAGAACCTCAAGCTTTAATGGTAATTAGGTTTTCACATCCCACACTGTGGCAATATTAGCACCTGAAAGGTGGTTTGCCTATCTGTTGCATAGAATACATCTGGTAATGAAAAAGCACCTTTTAGACAACTTGTCTAAAGCTGGCCTGTGGATTATGAGCGCTTATGCTTGTTTCGCCAATTCAGCAGAGATCTATATGAAAGCAGCTCGTCAGTAAGAAGCTAGTTTCACAGAACAATGGGGAAACTACCTCAAGTCAGCTTGCTGAGGCTGCCAATTCTGATTTTCTGATATTGCTACCTCCCTGCCCGCTATCTTTTATGTATCATTACATGGAATTTGAAACAGGTAGCCTCCCCAGCTTTACACAGACCAACTGAAGAAAATCACTTGAATACATAACTGGTGCGGAAGGCCATTTAGGACTGTCAGTTACTACCAAGCCCTTGCATAAAGATGAAAGGGTGAGATGTTTGAATTCGAATACATCACAATTGATGTGCTATCAGAGAGACAAGATCCCAAAGACTTTTACAGAAAGAGATTGTTCCCTCAAGTTTTATGTGACTATACTGAAACAAAACAGTAGATATAGGAGCTAATTATGTGTACATTTCAATAGAAATTTGTGTATATCTAACATGTATTCATTTAGTCCTTTTTATACTAGCAAGGCTTGAGTTCCTAAACTTGACTTTTTTTCACATGTATTTTCATGCATAGCTATTGATAAATTAATAATTTTTAAAAAGTTTATTGTTTTTTTACCACCTTTGGTTGACTATACTTCAATACCCTGTGCCATTCATGACTTACTTATCTGCCTACTTCTGATATGCTTATCTGAAATTCTATAAAAAACTAAATTTTCATCAAGCAGACGGACTGTACCTACATAGCACATCATTTGGGTAGCTGGAAGTAAAAGTTATGCCAATAAAACAAACCAATTATTATTTCCTAGTAAAATAATATTTTTGTAATATTTTACTCTCGAGCTTTTTTTTTTTTTTCTTTTGAGGTCTATCTCCCAAGGTACTTTGCAGGACACTAGCTAACAGATCTCATGTCTAGTTGACTCACAGACTGTTGGATTGTTGCACAGCCCATGTTCCTGATAATATTTATGGAGAAAACTACATTTTGTGAAGGAAAAATAGATTTGAATTTCAATTTAAGTTTTTGAACATCCCTCAAGTTCCACTCTATTAAAAGTAAAAAATACTATAGTTGAATAATAAATTGCCATGCTTAAATAATCATGACAAAAAAGAACTTGCATGAGAACAATTATGTCAAAGTGAAAATAATCAGGAAACTGTATTAATAAAATGTAGATAATGGAAATATCCTTAACTTCCTATCAGGCAAATTCACAAAGACTCAAAACTAAAGTGTAGTTTATGATATATACTTTTAAAATCCCCATTAACCTAAAAATGTCAACATATTGTTAAAAGATCTTTAAGATTTAGTGTTTTTAAAAAATTAATTTAGTTGGTGTGACGAAACTTTTCATGGTAATAGAGATAAACATATAAGAGAATTAGTAATAGTCATAGAACCCATGGACTTAATTTTAGCCAGTATCTTCAGCTTTTTGCCCCACACGTGTTCCAATCCATTGACAAAGGTTTACTTAGTTTAAAAAATGACATTAAAAACTTTTAAAGACTGACTTTCTGCAGTATAGAGAACAAAAGGGAGAGGAAAACCAGTTTCTGGGTTGTCTAAAGATCAACTCAAGACTAATCAATAATCAGCTCCTATTAGTGAAAGAAACATTTGTTTTCAGAAGTTGTGCGTTAGTATTATACCAAAGTGCTACTGCTTGAGGTGTTTTAGAAAAAACAAAACACTACAGAACTACTATACTACTACAAATTTAGAGAGAGAAAGAAAGAAACCCAGACTCTAATTTGATTTTGAGCAATTCTAAAAATATTGACAAGAATGTCCTTTCTTCTGTTACAAAACTATTTGAGATAAAATAACAATATGTACGATCTTCCTAGTATATTGTAGTACCAAGGCATTAAGATTTGATGAGTTCATGTTTAGTGGTTCATAATTATAACTCACAACATAAAACAATTACTATGCATTTCTAAAAATACTTTACATACAACCTCTGTTAGATTTCTGCACATTAATAAATTAGGAACATGGGAGCACAAGAGTGAAACAGCAACATTAGAAAATAACTTATGGAAGCATTTTTGTGCAAATGAATTCTACGTGGAAAGCTTCTTTGAGCTCTTAAAATAGATTTGATGGATCCCAACCAGAAATTCAAGTTTGTAATCAGCAAATACATACTTCTGAAGCCATCTGAAAAATATTGATAAATATCTAAATTTTCATTTCTAAATTAAAATGTTGGTAGCTGCTTCTTTCCTGCTTAGGCCATAAGAGGAATCTTTCCTATTTTCTAATTAACCTGATTAGTTTCTACTTCACTTTTGCTTTAAAAGGGAAATCAATCTTTAACTTTCACCTATA